ACACCTCTCCATACATACAAAATATTCACTTTACTTTTCAAAAGAGGAAGTGATAGGATGTTCTATTCAGGTATTGAACTCACATGCAACTATGCTAAAGCAAGACCCTGAAGCAAGGATAAGTGATTTCAGTTGGACCTAGGGCCAGTTTTTCATTTGGCCTAGTACCCTAACTCCCCCCCCCAAAAGCTAACAAAAATTCAACAACTCAATCTGCTGCTGAAAAATTAGTGACACAACCTCTGCAGTGTTTTTTATCTTATTTTAAGTTAAGTGAAGAAATATTGTTTACCACTTTGCTTTTGATCTAAAAATATGATTGGCCCTAATTGTCTTAATTATAATAGGATTTTGAATCAGAGTGTCTCAATGAGATGAGGATCTTTCATAGTTTGTTTTAATTTGTGACCTTTATTGCCTATAGGCATACACACAGCAAAGATTTTCATATATTTTTCATTCTGGGTTCTTGCAGGGAGGGGTATTTTGTATTTTTTGTGTACCCATTCTTTTGTTTTAAATGAAAGGGAGGTTCTCTTTGGTTTTCCCATATGTGTTTCTCCATGTTTTTTAGCATTCTAAAAACCTAAGGAACCATTAAAAACTACTCTAAGGAAGCAGAGGTAAGACAATAAAAGATCAATCTACTACAAAAGCAGGCAACAGGATGTAAGAAAGAAAAATTGTCATAGGACCTGTGCAGGCACTGCTTTATGTATTACCACATCATATCATCATTGTTGTCACCATGATCATCATCAAGCAAAAGAAAGAGAGAGAGAGAAAATACAAGAACAGGAAAGGATCTCAGAAGGAGGCATAGGAAGCAGACAGGGAGGCACACAGCAATCCAAGAGGGAAGACATCAGGAGCTCAGCTCTCAGTAATCTCACAAGAACCAACTCAAGCTAAGAGCCCTCCTCACTAGGTTCCAGGCTCTCTTACAGATTTAAAATTCCCACCCACCCCCAAGACATTCTGACTGACTCCTGACAGCCCCTGCAATGCTATTGAATTAAAAATTTCTTAGGTAGTTTGACTATCAGGGGATCAAAGGACACTAAAGAGATACATGAAAGAACGAACATAAACAAAATAAGAAATTTCATTTATTCCTCTTTGATAAATGAATCATTCACATTCATTGAGAAGCTGTCAAATCTACAGTTCAATGCATTCCAATGGGGGGGGGGGATTCACCAAAAATTAACGAAGACTCAGAACAAAGCCAAATTAAGTTTGCAAAGGTTTTACAAGGTGCACTAACGATCCCAAGCATTTAAAACAGTTTTTGAACATTTTAAGACACTTTAAAAATAGCGAAAATGGACCTGTCAAAACCATTGAAATGCATTGAAACCTATTCAATGCATTCCAATGGGGGGAACCGTGTTTCTCTTAGCGATGTTTCCTATGGCAATTTTCGCTTAAGGACGGTAATCCGTTCCCATTGGAACGGATTATCCGGTTATCAATGCATACCTATGGGAAATGGTGTTTTGCTTAGACATGTTTTCTCATAGCATGGTTTTTTGGGAACCAATTAACATTTTTAAGCGAGGCACCACTGTACTTCTCTCCATAAAAAGCAACTAGACTAATAAATATTATATCATGATGACAATGACTGTGTTGCCCATCTGCTGTTTGTATATGTTGACACTATACAGTAGTTCGTGTTTCAGGTCAGCTATTCCATACCACTAGTACTAGTATATAGAGAGTGTGTGGTTAGTTGGGTCGTTTGTGTTTACATGGGATGGAAACTAATTTACAAAAAGGGTCCATCACTGGGCCCATGATTTGCGAGAAGGTGTGGAAGTTGATCTGTGGTCTGAATTTCCTTGCTGTTGAGGATAAATCTGCTTTAAACTTTTTGCTTTAAACTAAATGTTTTTTCCTTTTAAGGAACACTGTTTCTTTTCAGATGTAATACTTAATAATCTTTTAACCTGGATTTCAGTATTGTTGTTGTTTAGTTGTTTAGTCGTGTCTGACTCTCTGGATCCCATGGACCAGTACACGCCAGGCCCTCCTGTCTTCCAGGATTTCAGTGTACTACTTGCAGTAAAATAGCAAGAATTTGGTCCATTATGGCAGAGATTGTCAACCCCCGGTCTGTGGCCTGGTGTCAGTCCATGGGCTTGCCGGAACTGGGCCACGGATATGGATCTCCACCCCCCACAGGCACGTGCGATGGGCATGTAATGCTCATGTGGGGTGCATGTCTCGTCCATGGGTGGCATGTTGCACTCACAGGTGGTGTGTCGCACCCACAGTGGGGGCATGTCGTGCATGCAGTGGGTGGGTGTTGCACCCATGGGGGGACATGTCACACTCGTGCAGGGACGTGTCACGCTCGCAGCAGGCATGTAGCACTCACAGCAGGGGTGACCCCCGCCCCGCCCCCCGCGCATGGAGCTTGCTCTCCCCAGCTGGTCCGTGGCCCCAAAAAGGTGGGGACCACTGCATTATGGAACTTCTGCCAGTTCATCTAATTGAGCTGATATCAAGGGTGGTGTTTGAGTCACCTTGGCTTGTCATGGTTTTCAACATCCATGCCAAGGCAGCTCTATCAGGGGTGTCACAAGATTTCATGACCTCCATGATGACCATGGGTCTGTTTCAAATGGTATCTACCGCCAATCATGCTGCAGGCCACACTTTAGACCTGGTCTTCTGTACCGGCATAGATGTTGGTGGCCTGGGTGTGGAGGAGTTTTCTGTAGTTCCATTGTCATGGACAGACCATTATCTGATGCAATTTGAACTCACTGGAATGCAGAGCCTTTGCAGGGATGGGGGTCAGATTAAGGCAATCCACCCAAGAAGGTTGATGGATCTAATTGGTTTCCTGGTTGGCCTTGGGGAGTTTCTTGTCACCTTGGTAGGTGATTCTTTTGATTACCTGGTTCATCTCTGAAATGGAGAAATGGCAAAAGCCAGTGACATGATTACTCCCAAATGTCTCCTCCCACAAAGTAGAGCAAAACTGGCTACCTGGTTTACCAAGGAGTTGGTTGTGATTAAATGTGTCATTCTTTCCTGCCACCATTGCAGGGTGGATCACCCAGTGAAGCTTTTTCAAATAGCCAAGGGCCTGTTACATGTAGCCGTCTAGAGTGGTTGAAATGACTAGATAGGCGGGGTATAAATACAATAAATAAATAAAATAAAAATAAAATAAAAATAAATGTTGGCCTCCAGGAATATAATGCAGATCTTTGTGAAGAATTTGCACAACACTTTTCAGGCAAATTTGCTCAGATCCACTCTGACTTGGATGCTATAGTTGATTCAGGTCCCATGAATGTATCTATGGCCCCTGTTTGCCCTGTGTTGATGGATGAGTTTCAGTTTCTGCAGCCTGGGGATGTCATCAGGACCCTTGAGGAGGTGAGGGCTACAACATGTTTGCTGGATCCTTGCCCTTCCTGGCTCATAAAAGCTGTGAAAAAGAGTCTGGTTGATTGGGTAGAAGTGGTGAATGCCTCCTTGCAACAAGGTAGGGTCCCATCATGCTTAAAGGAGGCAATAGCAAGACCATTGTTTAAAAAGCCCTCTTTGGGTAGTTACCAACCAGTATCCAATATTCCATTCTTCAGGAAGTTGCTAGAGCAGCTTGTGCTCTCTCAGATCCAGAGGTTCCTGGATGAAACAAATTATCTAGATCCAGACCTACTGAGAGACTGCTTTGGTTGCTGTGGTGGATGACCTATGCTGGGAACTGGATAGGGGTCTATGTCCCTGATGGTTTTGTTGGACCTCTCAGTGTCTTTCGATACTATCAATCATAGTATCCTCCTGACATGTCTCTCTGAAATGGAACTTGGAGGCACTGTTTTCCTGTGGCTCCAATCCTTCCCGGAGGAGAGAACTCGGAAGGTTGTGCTGGGAGATTGCTGTTTGACACCCTAGCCTGTGGGGTCTGTCAGGACTCTGTTTTGTCTCCTATGTTATTTAACATCTACATGAAACTACTGCGAGAGATAGTTTGGAGTTTTGGTGTCACCAGTATGCCAATAACACCCAACTTTACCTCAGTTTTCCACTGAAATCCAAGGAAGCTGTTTTGGCTCTAAGTTAGTGTTTGGTATCAGTAATGGACTGGATGAGGGTTGATAAACTGAAACTAAATGCAGACAAAACAGAGGTGCTTCTGGTCAGCTGGAAGGAAGGTCAAGGAATAGGGATGCAGCCTGTACTGGATGTGGTTACACTCCCCCTGAAGACACAGGTGTGCAGTTTAGGGATGCTCCCAGATTCATCTCTGAGCCTGGATGCCCAGGTTTCAATGGCAGCCAGGAGCACATTTGCACAACTAAAACTGATGTGCCAGCTGTGTCTGTTTCTTGAGAGATCTGATCTGGCCACTATGATACACATCCTAGTTACTTCCCAGCTGGACTGCTGTAACACACTCTATGCGGGGCTGCCAATGGAAAGTGTCAGGAAACTTCAGCAGGTCCAAAATGCAGCAGCCAAATATACACACACACCCTTTACATCAGCTCCACTGGCTGCTGCTGAGTTTCCGAGCACAATTCAAAGTGCTGGTTTTAACCTATAAGGCCCTAAGTGGCCTTGGTCCAAGCTATCTTTCTCTTGAGGCAAGCCTTCCCTCAGCAATTGGCTACCTGAATGCGATTTTTCTTTTGCATTACTGCTTTGACTGGGTTTTGTATTTTCCATTTCTCAGAGTGGCATCTGTTTTTTTCCTTTTTAATTCTTGTGTTATTGTTTTTAATATTGCCTTTTAATAATGTAAACCACCTTTGTATATTCATTATTTTCAGATTTAAATATTGCCTTCTAATGATGTAAGCCACCTTGTGTTCTTTTCAAGGAGAAAGGTGGGGTATAAATGAATGAATGAATGAATGAATGAATGAATGAATGAATGAATGAATGAATGAATGAATGAATGAATGAATGAATGAATGAATGAATGAATGAATATTGTTTTCACTCTGAAATGGCACTTGCCCCTTTCTCCACAGCCACTGTTTTAATGAGGATGAACATGCATTGATGTCACTTGCTTCATGGATCAATGTTGTCGTTGGAAAAGTGACTGGCATAGACAGATCTGCAAAGCATGTCATAGTTTCTAAGAGGAGAAAAGTGCTGTATGACCATCTCATTCTCTGCACTGGTCAACAATACCAGGTGAGTCTGGAAAGTGAATAAATGAAGACTAGTGTAAAACCATTAGTGTACTTAACTTTTGGACTATTAAAGAACACAAAGGGAAAGTAAGTTTGAGTGAATTCTTTGCCACAGCGTAACATTTGCTATCCTTTAATGCACCAAATGTAATTAATAAATAATTTTACTTAAAAAGGAGATGAATATTAAATGCTGAGGTTGTAGTCCTAAGAACAAACATTGTAAAGGTATTGAGTTCACTGGCTGAAAACCTGTTGCTTAACTTAGTAAGTTACACTACAGTAGATCCATTGATTCAGCAGGGCTTTCAGTGAGTCAATTCCTCTGCAAGTTCTATTGATTCAAATGGGCTTACTCTAGTTGTGACTTACTTTAGTGTAGTAAGTCACAACTAGAGTAGGCCCATTTGAATCAATGAAATATATGGAGGAGCTGATGCACCAAATCCTTACTTATTCAGTAGGCTTACTCTAGTGCAATTTCTTGTGCGAACCAACAGGATTTCAGTCAGTAAGACTTGCATCAGAGCAAACATGTATAGAATCTAATTACAAGAATCACAAAGGGGAGATTATGGAGGACACAATCCTGCTGCACAAGCTACACTGAAATTAAAGGGTAATATCAATGTTATTGTTCAGTTCCCTTTCATATTTATGAGGATATTTCATTGGATTTTGCTCCAAGTCAGAAAAATTGAAATGATTTGTAAGTGAAAGCCTCAAAGTACAAGTCTTGTTGTCAGACCTACAGAACATGAACCAGTTGCAGAAGCCTTATTCATGAATAGTTTGACCCCAGTGCTATTTTGAATAGTCTTTTTAAATTGCTTGAAAGTCTGCAATGGCCAGACTTCTTACAGGGGTGAAAAGTTACCAACAAATTTCCCGACACTGGTCACCTTGCATTGGCTGCCCATTCATTTCTGTGCTGATTTCAAAGTTCTTACAATTACATACAAAAGCCTAAATGGTTTAGGACCTCAATATCTGGCAGAGCACCTTCTCCCACCCAATTCTGCCAGAGTCACTTGTTCCAGCCAGGCTGGGTGGCTGAAGGGCCCAATGCTGAGGGAGGTCTGGAAGGAATGAGGAATAGGGCCTTCTCGGCAGTGGCCCTTCGCCTTTGGAACAACTGGCCAGGCGCCCTCTCTGGGTTTTTTCAGGAACAAACTTGAAACCTGGCTATTTGGGCAGGCTTTTCCTCCTGCTGTATCTTAATTTCTTATGCTTTCGCCACCTTGGATCTATAATATATGTTTTGTTTTATTGTTTTTAAATTTGTAAACCACCCAGAGTAGACCTTTCATCTAGATGGGCGGGATAGAAATCCAATAAATAAATAAATAAATAACAGATAAAACTTAATTCAGATAAGGTGGAAGGTCTCTTAGTAAGTGGTAATTTTGATCAGCCCTTTGGTTTTCAATCTTTGGATGGAACTATACAACCTCTAAGACAAGGGTCCCCAACCCCTGGTCTGTGGCCCGGTGCCGGTCCCTGGCCTGGGCTAGACCAGGCCGTAGAGACAGATCTCCCACCCTACCAACCCACCCACCCACGCACTCTCCCCCTGCACAGCCCCTTTGCGCCTGTGCACAAGTGCGTAAGCGCTCCTCCCATTCGTGCATGCCCCTGAGTGCCCTTTGCACATGCACGCGAATGTGCGCACACCCGCATGAGCACCCGCACTCCTTCGCAAGCACAGGGGTGCCCCACCTTCCCCAACTAGTCCGTGGTGTTAAAAAGGTTAGGGACCACTGCTTTAATATAGCAGTTTCCAACCTGGGATGCATGCACCCCCAAGGGTACAAACCAGGACATTTAGGGTTATGCAGAAAAATTGAATAATGGCAGAAAAAGGCATCTCTATCAATAGTGTAAGACAAGATGCAAATCAAAAGTTATGAAATTAGTTGGATGTTATGATGATTAGCAGAGTGGGTTTTCTTCACTATTCAAACCTCAAGAAAAGCCCTATTCCCTTCCTTTGTTATTTGACAAATTGTGGAGAGGCTCTCCCTAAAGAAAGTGTTGTGAACACACCACTACAGTGTACATGATCAGTGGCGCACCACTCACAGGCTCAACTTTCACTCTCTTCCATTTCGCAAACATTCAAGTGCTGCCATGCTGGGCTGGTGTATATTAGAGATGGCGGTATTCATATATATGAATACGAATATCCCCACACAGGTAGAGTTAACAAGGGTCCTGCTCCTGGGGCTGGACCATCCACTCACACGTCTGGCTGTGGCCCCTCTCTTTCTTGGCAGACTTTCAGGGACACTCCCTCCCTCCCTCTGCCAGGAGTGGCTAGCCGACCAGGAAGAGAACGGCACTCGGGAGCGATTGGAAGGATGAGTGGGGCTGCCACCACCAGTGGACATGTGAGTGGACGGTCAAGCCCCAGGGGTTGGACCCTTGTTAACTCCAGTTGTGCGGGGATATTCGTATACAAATATGAATACCCCCATCTCTAGTGTATATATAAGCAGATACCTTAGTTGGTCCTGTGAGCAATGTTCAATGAGTGAGTTCTTCTGAGTCTTCTCTATGTATCTTCTCTTTGTAATTTTTTTCAGTTTTAAATTAATTTTTCAATTTGTATATTTTCAGATATGGATCAATAGTTGAAAACTGGCACAGTTGAATGTAAATGTATATGTACTGTCTGTTAATTTTATTATTTCATTGCTTTTTAATCCCAGTCTTGGAATATTTATTTACAGTTACAACATTTGAAACAACTGTAGCCATATTAAATATAAACATTTTGTTAATTTTAAGGGTATAGCTTATGGAAATGGGGTGCCAAGGGGTACTCAAGTGAAAAAGGTTGGAAACCATTACTCTAAGGGATGCATTTATCCTTGTCCTTAACCTTCAGTTGGTAGAAAATACAGTTGCTGCCTGTTGCTACCTACTAGGGCCTAAAATATACTGAATTGTAAAAAAAAAAAATAAAAAAATTGCACCAGGTAACAATTTTCCTTCCCAGTCTTAGTTCAAATTACTCTTTTGACTATTAAACATGATCTAAGAGTGGAATGTCTTTAAGTACTGCCTACTCCTTGTTCCAGTGTGATCCTTACCATACATTAAGATCTTCCATGATCACCTTTCTCTGTACGTCTCTACCTTTGGAGCTGAGGTAGCTGGCCACAGTGATGGCATCTATAGTGGCAGCCAAACTTTAGAGCTTTCTCCTCAACTTCATTTGTCAGGTACCCATCTTGTAAGCATTATCGTTTACTTAGGTCTTTAATATCTCTTACTCTTTCTTTTGTGAAGGGCCTACTTTCATCATTACCATCTTCGTTGTTAGTTTTTGCCTGCTGCTTTTTAACAAATAATGTGAGCTACTAGATATGGAAAATATTTATTCAATGGAAATAGTAATGTCAGTGAGAAAATTGATTTAATTGAATTTGTAGGCTACCACATTATACCTATCTTTGTACTGTCTATTCCTACAGATCCCATGTCCTACTGGTTTAGATATCAAAAAGCTGTTCACTAACAGAGAGGTCCCAAAAGACTATAAGCAAAAATACACAGGAATAGTGCCTTCCAATCTTTTTGTTATTTGTGATGATGAAGATGCCTTAATGGCAATTAAGTGGTTAAAAGAAAAAATCATTAATTCTTCAGGTAAGAATTTTAATACCACTATATTAGGACAAGGTGCAGAGGTTGATGCATTTCTTGGCACAATGTATCTCCATTTCTACTCATAATTATAACCTAATTAATCCTTGCAAAATGTTTCATCTTCCACGATTTGTTTTATGAATTAATTTGCAACTTATTGTCAATTTTGAAGACCATCATATTTTTTGCTTCAAATAAAGGCTGAAAATAAGAATTATCCATAATTATTTTAGTGCATGAAATGGCAGCAGAGTCTCTATTTATCCATTAATTAACAAATTAGATTCACTTCCATTGGTAAATGTGTTCCACAGCCATAAACAAGAATTTCAAATTTAAGAACAGTGAAAAGAAAATAAGACATGAAGCACAGCAAAATGTTTAAAAGCTTATTTGGAAAGTGTAGACAAAAGACTTACAAAAAACAAAGGGTGCTATGTATGACTGATATCATGACTGATATCTCAATGATATCTCTTGTTTTCTCAAGATAGCACATATCTGCTTTAGAAAGATTGTTCCCACATCCAATTGTGTTGCTGCTTAGTCCACAGGGGATTTCTTCATTAACCATGTACACAGGATAGTTCAAAAAGCAAGCTCCGCTTCCAGAATTCTGTACCTGGGAAATGAGATCCCACTGTTGGTTTGGTGGGTGCGGACAAGGGCAATCTTCTCCTCCTATAGCTGGCCATGTGCCCTCAAAAAGTGCATTGGGAAGCTACAAATTCCTGGAGAGCAGGCTTTTGAACAGTACCAAAGACTACAAGGGAGACAGTGGGAAAGAAGATCCATCCCGTTACACGAATGGACATCTGCTACAAACATGGATAGCATGTTATGATTAAAAAAAACCTCCTGCCTCAAGGTTTTCCCAGCCTGTCCCTCTGAATTCCTTTGGATTTCTCAGAAAGCCATTGCTGAGCCTCAGGGAGCCCTCCAATGTAATGTGTATGTGATGAGAAACTCTAAAACAAGACGGAGGAAATCATTAGAAAGGAGTAATCCCTAGCATTGACAAGTGGAAGTAGTTCTCACTCATGTAAATTGCACTTTGGATACAAACTTTTATATTTGTGATACCAAATTGCCTGATACCAGTAACTCCTGGGTGTTAGAATTCACACCATTGACTATCAACAGTAACACAATGGTGAACTGTGTTGCTTACAATTCTGGAATCAGACCACTGGACCCTTTATACTTCATTCCCTCCTAGACTTTAAAATAGTTTTTCTAATTATATTTTATGAGCTATCATTCTTTTTCAATAAAGCCTAATGGTAGTTGGATGTAAGGAGCAAAACTGCTTCAGCATCAAAGAAGATCACTTTTTTTCATTTTGTTACCCAAACAGTTTGAGGCCATAGTAAAAGCAATCTTTCAGGAATGTTAAGCATTGGAATTGCAGTGCACAAATCATGAAACAGAGCTTCTGTCACTCCATCTAATGTGCTTTCTTTTTAATGTGATTATTGCAAGGCTAAGAATCCAGGTCGTACGAAGGTCATGAAAATTTTGTATTTCCTATTGTAGGAAATGAATTAGTATTGTCAGAATTAGGATGTGAACATCTAGTATTAAAGGATAAATCCACTATAATAGATTTGACTTATGGTTGGCATGAACTTCTCAGAATAATATGTTTCACACAAATAATATCTTCATGTAGGTATATCGTTTCTGGGAATTATTTGGAATGTATTGGGTTGATCTAGTTTATTCTGTAATCACAACATAGATGGCATATATAACAATGCTGATAATATATTGAAAAAAATTATCTCATATATTAGTCTCTTTATTCTACTCATATGTCTGAAGAAGTGGACCATGTTCCATAAAAACATACATTAAAATATAGCAGTTAGTCTTTATAGTGCCATGTCTTTTTTTTGCTTTTGTTTTTGTTTTGTGCTTCTTGTTGAAATATTGAAAATATGATTTCTTTAGGTCACAAAGAGAACACTATTTATCTTAATCTAAAACTTTCATTAAATATTGTTGAGTAAAAATACATTGAAATCTGCCTTCAAAAACAAAGGATGTGCAGGTACAACAGTTCAAAAAGGCTACGGATAGAAGGCACTGATGGTTAGAAGTGGTACATAATTACCTACTGGAATTTTTGTTAAATAAGGGGGGAAATGAGCTAATGGTATATGGTTCTGAACCTTAGAAACATGGACACAAATGAGAAGACTCCTATAATCTTCAGTGTGGACTAATTTTGGTGTAGCAAATATTGACTTTGAAGTATTTACTATAGAAGGAATAATTAATAAACTGAGAAACAATGGGAAGTTCCCATTGTTATTAATTTGCAGGATCTGTAAAACAGGTTTGCTCCTATTTGAACTCCCTTTCCCCTTATGTATCCCTTGTACAAGAAACTGAATGAAATATTTTTTTAAAAAAAATATAAATAATTATAATAGAGCTTTCCTGTTGCAGTGCTCGGACTTTAAAATTTGGCTGCTAGAAAGGTTGTGTTATCCACCTTGTTGAATACATTCAGGATGCAAATGAAGATGGTTGTATATAAGTTCTCTTTTTTTAGATAGTCGACATGTAATGATAGCTGCTGTTGGCATTTTTGTATACTGCAGCTGTATTTGTTGTCCTGTTTTATTCATTATTTTATTGTTTATTTTGTTGCAAACTGCTTTGGGGACCCAATCTGGGGTGGAACTGAGATTTTTACATGAGATTTATACATAAGCAAATAACAACTGAAATAATTGCTTTAATGACTTCTTATTGAGTTCACAATATGAAGTGGCTTCAAATTTTTTGAATTATTTTCAAATACAAGTGGAAAAGGGGAAAAAATTTTCTATTTGAAATTGCATTTACATTTCATTTTCTCTTGTTCCACAGAGGTAGATGCATGTTGAGACGGTGCCCCAGATAATAAATCATCCAGTAATGAACTTAATCAGGGTTTGATTTTCTAAGGAGGTCTGACAGTCTTCAAGATCTAAACTAACATTTGGAAATTCTTAAAAAACAGATGAGGTCTCTAGAGATTGGCAAATGTCCCTGGCGTCAACAAGAGGAAAAAAGAGGAGTTCGGAATTGCTGAGTGCTCAGCCTGACTTACATACATGACAGGTTCTAGAACAGATTATTCAACAGTCAGTCTTTTCTAGGTACTTGAAAAGAACATATAATTAATAGAGTTGGTACTGGTTTCTGAAAAACAAATCATGCCAAATTAATCTCACACGTTGTTTAAATAGTGCTGCAAATTTGGTAGATTGGGGGAAATGATATATCATGCAAAAGAAAAGAAAAATAAAAAATCAGGAAGAGAAAAACATTGTGGCACTTAAAGACTAGCTGCTATATTTTTATGTGAACCTTTGTGGACAAGTCCACTTCCTCAGACAATTGGGAATTATGTAGACATAGCAGATCTTGATTTCAGTAAAGTGCTGCCAAGTTCCTTCATGTTATTCTTGAAGACTGGTAAAATGTGATAAAAAAAATTCCACATCTGATAAAATTAAGCTGATATAATGTAGGTTAAGAGATGCAACTATTAGGTGGTTTTGTAAATTGATGGGTGCTATACCCAAAGAGTACTTACCAGTTGTTCCTCATCTTCCCGGAGAGAATTAAGTGGAGTGTCATGTGGGTCTGTCCTGGACCTGGTACCACTCAGCAAGATGTGGATGAGGGAATAGAAGGACCGTCCATCACATTATCAGGACAGCAGAGCCTGTGGGCTTTGCAAATAGTGATGAAGAAGTCATTTAACTCTTATAACAACATCAGTGAGTAGTTGTTCAAACCAACGTTTTGAGACAGCCAATGTTTTGAGACAGCCAAATGACTGCAACACAAAAGCAATGTATGTTGTCTCTTTTATTTCAACAAAGATTTTTTAAATTATGTGATTTTTTAAAATAAGTTCTGTTAAACCAATGGGGGTTGAACCCTTTGAATCCCTCACACCTTATGTACAGCCAGGCTTGCATCCCCTAAAAACAAGAGATGTGCTTTGTTCCTTTAGAAATGTTGTACTCATACTAACTGATTTATCTACTAAAATTGATTTGCCAAATGAACGATGTGATGACGGTCTGAAATTTTGTCCCTCAGGTTACTGGCCTCTTGGGGCATGCATCAATGTTAAGAATTTTTACAGTACTAATTAGGCTATTTAATTATAGAATACTTAATATTTGTGTGTGTTATCTCTATATATTGCTAATTCTCTTGAGTTTTCCCTGCAAAAAAGGCCAGATGTATGTTTTTTAAATAAATAAATAAATAAATGTTCAGATTAAAAGCCAGGTAAACTTAAGGACTATTTCATGTATTGTACAGAAGCGAACCTGGATTTGCTACTGGGTGTGTACTTGATAGCTGCAGCCACCCAGAGATTGCCAATAACTATACTAGTAATTTTGTCTGTGCAGTCCATGTTACTGGTCAATTGATACTTCAAACTTACTGTAGCTGTAATGAGCCCTTTGTATGTTAATTTGACAGAGTTGTCAGTTTTCTTGGGATTCTCACACTCCTTATGCTTTGAACTCTATCTGTTGTGGATTGTGTTGTCCCTGGCGGAGGGGAGGGGACAGATATGTAAAGGACACACATTCTTTCCTGGCTGTGGAATTATGAGAACAAAACTCTGTAAATGCACTTTGGTGGCTATACTCCTTTTCCTGTCCCCCACATTATTCTTCCCTGATCTCTCTGCCATGGTGTAATTTTTTTTTAATTTGAAAGTGCTCAAATCAAATAAAAAGGAGGGGGCAGCTGGGTAAGGGACATAATAAAAGAGTTCTCGCTGCCTAGAGGTTCTCAAGCCAAAAGGTTTCAAAATCCAGGACATAATAAATGTCCTACTTCTGTGTTAAGTGCTTGCTACTTTACAGGATGTATTCTGTAGATTCTTCACTAAATTATCTTAGTTACTGTTGCTAGGTAACATTGTTTGCTTCATAGCATCAGAGCAACAAGAGGGTCACAGATCAGTTCAGTATTATTATCATCTGAATTACACTAATAAGGTCTTATTATATGTCTTAATTTTCCCCTCTGTTCTCCTTTTTTCTTTCTCTCTCCCCAGAGAATGTTATTGTCTATGGGAATACAATTGACACTTATACCACGATAGAATCCCTCTTATCATTAGGAATCACTGGCTCACGTATATACCTTGTTCATCCTCCATCACGCTCCAATGTTACTTCCCTTAATAATAATGCAATAGAGAAGGCTGTCCAGAAAGCTTTGTCCAGGGCTGGTGTGACTGTACACCATGATAGTCTGCTGGCTCAGTGGAATGATGGCGGGCACCCAGACCCTATCACCGTAGCATCTTTCACTACTAACACAAAGCCATTTAAATTGCAATGTGCTGTAAGTACTTACCTTTGCTGTGTTACATCTGTGCATCTTGCAGACAAAGGCTGCTGTTTTGAGCTGTAGAAATACAATGTTAGTAAGGATGCTGGCACAATGTTTTATGTAAGAGGTACAATGTTGGTAGGGATGCTGGCACAATGTTTTATGTAAGAGGTGTTCTCCTACACCAGAACACGGAAATGAACAGGATCTGTGCAAGTACATCTTCATCTCTTTATTACTGAAATGAAGACCAACATTTTAAAATTTTCTGTAGATTTGGTTTTTTTATTTAGACTTTTAAAGGATTCCAGTAAATGTGATTAAACTTTGCTCTCTGCTGGGGTCATTTCACAATGGGTGAGGGCAAAGAAAAGAAAACATAAAGTTAGGGAAATGAAGACCGCACTAATTGAGGTGAATAACAACCAGGGCATGAGCCTAAATTTTTTGTGAGGGGATGGATGCAAGAAGCATTTTTTAAAAAAATGCAATACAGTCATGCCCCGCTTAACGATTGCCTCGCTTAATGAGAAAATCGCTTCATGACGAGGTTTTTGCGATCGCAAAACGATGGTCTAAATGGGGGCATTTCACTTAGCAATGATTTGTTCCTGCTTGGGAACCAATTTTTGCTTTACGACAATTAATGATTTGTTCCTGCTTTGGGAACCGATTTTCGCTTTATGACAATAAAAAACAGCTGATATTGGTTTCAAAATGGCTGCCGGCTGAAGAAAATGCCCCCCCTGCTGTGCTTAGGGACGGATTCCTTGCTGTACAGGCATGGAAAATGGCTGCCCCTATGGAGGATCTTCGCTGGATGGTGAGTTTTCAGCCCATTGGAATGCCTTAACCGGGTTTTAATGCATTTCAATGTGCTTTTTTATTTCGTTTGACGATGTTTTCTCTCTACAGCGATTTCGCTGGAATGAATTAACATCGTCAAGCGAGGCACCACTGTATTCAAAACTGAAAAGCAGCAAGACTTGGCAATGGGTTAAAATGAAGAGGAACAGGCAAAAACGGGGGAAATCAAATACTTCATACCTGTTCAATAAGGTAATGATGTCAACAGATACAAAGGACATACAAAAAAAGGAGGATGTGGGAGGAAAGATGAAATTTTTGATCCTACATGTTTTGAGCTTGAGAAAATGGATAAGTAAATAGGCAGAAATACAGAGGACCCTCGACTTACAGACGGCTCGACTTACAGACTTTTCGACTTGCAGCCACCATTCCAATATGGATTAATTCCTTAAGTAGAGGGTCCACTGTATTAGACTGGCAGGGAGAGATGCAGGATTGCATGGAAGAAGGTGCTTTGGGCATTCAGAAAGAAAATGAGAGAGAAAAAGAGAATGGTATTGAAAAGTGTGGGATTTGATGAGATCACTGAGAAATAGCGTGTAAAGGGAAAGTAATTGTTCCTGTAGACAGCACCTTGTAAAAAAGGGATACAGACCTTTTCCAAATGGAATATTGTCATATTGCTTCACCTTTACCCCTTCTTATTGGGGTGTTTGAATTATCCCACAAACTCTTAACACAGATCATCTTCATATATCTAAACCAGGAAATTTATTATGATTGGAATAAGTCTAAACATTGTGCTCTAATATCATGTTCTGTTTGTAGGAACCACATTTTTCAGAAAGAAAATGAGAGAGAAAAAGAGAATGGTATTGAAAAGTGTGGGATTTGATGAGATCACTGAGAAATAGCGTGTAAAGGGAAAGTAATTCTTCCTGTAGACAGCACCTTGTAAAAAAAGGCATACAGACCTTTTCCAAATGGAATATTGTCATATTGCTTCACCTTTACCCCTTCTTATTGGGGTGTTTGAATTATCCCACAAACTCTTAACACAGATCATCTTCATATATCTAAACCAGGAAATTGATTATGATTGGAATAAGTCTAAACTTTTACATTGTGCTCTAAGATCATGTTCTGTTTGTAGGAACCACATTTTTCTGGTTTGGATGTAACTGGAAATTGGGCTTAAGACTTCGTGGGTTGAGCATTGTGTGATGGGAAACTGGTAGGGAAGGGGTGGCAGGAAGACAGAGCATTCAGGACCTAGGCTCAGATTCATAAATCCAAACTAGGTGACTGAAATGATACTTTGGTAAGTAAACGAAAATTACCTGAGTGTGAGAACTGGGGTATGTAAGCAGTCAAGAAGGAGAGTGATTAACTGTTTCAAAAAGCTAGTGAGGTGAAGATTAATGAAACCTTTCAGATTGGGCAATGAGAAGATTGTTTGTGACTGAGCACTTTAAGTGGTGAACAGCATTGGAGTGTGTCAAAAAACAGAATTAGAGGAAGAAAAGTCAAGACCACAGAACTAAGCAACATACTTCAGGATATTGAAGATAGAGAAGAAAATGGATATTAATTGGAGTATAGGAAATGAAAGGAGGGTCAACCAAACTCTTGAGTTGTGAAGTCAATGGAGAGTGCTTATCAAGGCATCTAAGGTGCAGAAGAGGCACTGGACTTTGTTGTTGCACAGATCTCAGAGGTATAACAGTGTTGTTTTGCCAGACAAGTTACAAGAAAAAGAGGGGAGGGGAAGAGAGACATGGAGGGAAAAAGAGATGTACAAAAAATTAGATCATTACTCTCAGCATCCTCAGAAACATTAATTTCTATATTGTTCTGTTTTTGTTGTTGTTGTTTAGTCGTTAAGTCATGTCTGAGACTTCGTGACCCCATGGACCAGAGCACGCCAGGCCCTCCTGTCTTCCACTGCCTCCTGGAGTTGGGTCAAATTCATCTTGGTTGCTTCAATGACACTGTCCAACCATCTCGTCCTCTGTCGTCCCCTTCTCCTCTTGCCTTCACACTTTCCCAACATCAGGGTCTTTTCCAGGGAATCTTCTCATGAGGTGGCCAAAGTATTGGAGGCTCACCTTCAGGATCTGTCCTTCCAGAGAGCACTCAGGGTTGATTTCCTTCAAAATGGATATGCTTGTTCTCTTTGCAGTCTAGGGGACTCTCAAGAGTCTCCTCGAGCACCACAATTCAAAAGCATCAATTCTTCAGCGGTCAGCCTTCTTTATGGTCCAGCTCTCACTTCCATACATTGCTACTGGAAAAACCATAGTTTTCACTATATGTACCTTTGTCAGCAAGGTGATGTCTTTGCTTTATAAGATGCTGTCTAGGTTTCTCATTGCTTTCTTCCCAAGAAGCAGAAATCTTTTAATTTCGTGGCTGCTGTCACCATCTGCAGTGATCATGGAGCCCAAGAAAGTAAAATCGGTTGCTACCTTCATGTCTTCCCCTTCTATTTGCCAGGAGGTGATGGGACCAATGGCCATAATCTTAGGGGTTTTTTGTTTTGGTTTTTTGTTTGTTTTTTTGATGTTGAGCTTCAGACCATTTTTTGCACTCTCCTCTTTCACCCTCATTAAGAGGTTCTTTAATTCCTCGTCACTTTCTGCCATCAGAGTGGTATCATCTGCATATCTGAGGTTGTTGATATTTCTTCTGGCAATCTTAATTCCAGTTTGGGATTCCTCCAGTCTGGCCTTTCACATGATGTATTCTGCACATAAGTTAAATAAGCAGGGAGACAATATACAGCCTTGTTGTACTGCTTTCCCCATTTTGAACCAATCAGTTGTTCCATATCCATATAGGTTTCTCAGGAGATAGATAAGGTGGTCAGGCACTCCCATTTCTCTAAGAACTTGCCATAGTTTGCTGTGGTCCACACAGTCACAGGCTTTTGCGTAGTCAATGAAGCAGAAGTAGATGTTTTTCTTGTACTCTCTGGCTTTCTCCATAATCCAGCCCATGTTAGCAATTTGGTCTCTAGTTCCTCTGCCCCTTCGAAATCCAGCTTGTACTTCTGGTATTACTCATTGTTCTGTACTACTCATTGTTCTGTTTACTATGGTTTAAAAATGGCTGCATATTTTCTTCTACATTCATTGTTTCAGTTCCAGACCTAAATAAATGTGGAAGAGATCAAGTCATAGTGAAACCAACATAAATCTCATTGGGCAGAATTGTCTTTGTTTTTCTTGTATTTCATGTGTGTGTTTTTCTTACTGTTTGTGCAAGGAGAAATCAACTACTCCCTTGTTGGTGTGGAAACCCTATTTGTTTAAATAGGGTGGTCTCTGGCTGGTGCAACTTCCATCTGAAGATCACACAAAGCACTCCAGTTATGTATATGACCTCTTTGTTTACTCAAGAGGTTTCTGTCCATTGCTTATTAGGTTCAAGAAATTTCTTAATCCTTCCATATTGGAGTCAGTGCTGACTCCAGTTCCTGAACTTTGGCTGGATCATAAACTTTACTACTATCACATAGTCTCATTCACAGGTTCCTAATGTTCTAGACAACATCTACCTGAATAAATGTCAATATAGAAAAAAGAAAGAAAGCACAGTAGCTCCATGAAGAGAAAGTTGGTCACTGATATTCTGTTTGTTTTGTGGGTTTTTGCTAACCAGCCATAACTTTCTTTTGATAAGGGATTATCTAATTTGGCCCATGATACTGCCTTTCAAAAGTGGAAGCATTATGCAATTGGTAGCACAATTTGGGATGGGAAGAGGGAGATGGAGTGAAATGGTTTTAGAGTACATGTGGACCAAGTCAGTCCTGGCTATTGCCATTGAACAAAGACCATGACATGCTTAGTAACATTTCAAACTGGGGAGACAGACAACATGATGTTTTACAACCTTTGATTATAGTTTTATTAGTAAAACAATGTTGTAGAAAATCTCTTTCAGTACTACAGCTCTTTTTCCAGGTGTTTCCAAATTAATCTAGAAAATTGATATCATAATATGCATTCATTACTAGTTACCATACAAAAGATATAGTAGTGTATTCTGGTTTAATTATAAACAGCTATTGGGGTAAAGTTGTCTAACACAGTTGTGCCCAAACTTGGATCCCCAAATTAAAATTCACAGAAACCTTGGCCAGCATAGCTAGTGGTAAAGGCTTCTGCGAGTTTTCATCCAATAACATTTGGTGACCCCAGATTGGGAGCCCCTGGGCTAGCCGAAGGGTATTCTTTTTTGTGGTACTGAAATAAACCTTTGTTGTTTGTGCTAGATTTCCATAAGATTCCTATTTTTGTTTGCAAATAGAGTAAATCTGACAGTTGAACCAAACAAATGGTATGTTGTTTATAGGATTTCAAGACTTACTCTTTTTTTAAAGGCATTTTTTAACTTCACCAACAAAAGTGTGGATTATGATACCTTCAAGGCAGTTAATGATGCATGTCTCGTTTTTGATGGAAGACTTGTGATTGATGCCAACTTCCATACCAATGATATATCCATCAGAGCTGCAGGTCCCTTAACCAAGTTCTCCAATATATATTATGCCAATGAATGGACACACAGTAATTTCAGCTCAAAGGAGGTTGGATTCCAGCTTGCTGCAACCATGCTCAATCTTTTTGATCCAACTCTGGAGCCAGTATTTGAACCTACAGAAGATGTGGATAGGCTCATTCCAATATACAAGGGATGCAAAGTTCAAGGTGGGCCAAAAATATTGCTTCTTCATTATTTTAGATATTGTTGATCTTGCTGTAGAATTATCATAACGTGAGACAAATCAACTATTTTATGGGTATTAAATATTAATTTTTAGAAATACCAGGTGCAAAATCCAATAATTAATCCCAACAGAATGAATGAGACTTCTTAAGTCAACATTTAAGGTAAGTCCAATTGATTCATAGAGACGTCTGTACTTGTAACTTTGTTGAGACTATTCTACTTGTACCTAACAATTGGATTTAGCTATCCCTGGAGTTTAGTACAAGAGAAAATGTCATTTTTAACTGTGCTATTCAGTTTTCTTTCAGAGACATCTCATAGATGTCATTTGCAAATTCTAGTTGAAATATCAGGATAGCCATATACATAGAAAATAGAATCTTTTACTGTAACTCGTGATTATTGTGAAGATAAAATGGTCAGGAGAAGGGCCTTGTACAGTAGGCCACCTTGAGGTCACTGAAAAAAGTAGGGTATATCTGGAACAAACAAACAAATCACATAGTTTTCATAACAGTTAATTATTATTAATTATGAGGCTAAAGACTTACTTATAAAACACCTTTTTTCTCTTCTCAATTTGCTTACTATTAAACAAAGAGTTAAAATAACATTCATCTTTTTTCTCCTTTTATAATATTCTATAAAAACTTCTATTGTGCAATATATTATTACTCTCATTTGTTTAAAACAGGTTTCTACATCTATTATGTGGTATCCCTTTAATTAACGTTACCAGTAAAACACAACACAAGCAGCATTTTCAAGCACACTTCATTTTTTTCTCTTGTTTTCTTTTTCACATAATATCAATGTGTCATTGTGTACTCTTTCTTGCAAAAACTGGCATGTAACTTAATGAGTTGCTTCTACCTTATTATCTTATCAGTAGCTTTGTTCCAAAACAAACTGTAGTTATTTTGTAAACTATCTCCTGAACTATAGTTTTTAAATTGTATTTTCACTTTTGATGCAACACCAAAGCACCTTTTAAAAATTGTTTTTCATTTTTAAGACACCTCTGTACCCCATAAATGCAATTTTTTGGAATTATTGACACTGTTTTTATGATACTTCCTGTCTTTCTGCTTTCTGAGATTTGTCCTGTATTAGGTTTCATTTTTCTGAATGAATCAAGTGTGCAACAAGGGGTGTTTAGTCTTGGATTCTCCATGGTTGCTAGTGGTTCAAGCGAAGTCAGTGCTTTAGAGTGTCTCCTCTCAACTAAGGATGTTTAGTTAGCTGCACTCAATATTGATAGCCTAGTCACAGTTGCCCGTGCTCTTGCTATTGATGATGATGATATTAGATATTAAAGCCAACATTTTTGATTTTGATCATTTTTGATGGTCTTGTTTTATTCTTCAGTGCATAATTACTATTTTGGAATCTTGATCTAATTAAAAGGTGCCCTGAATGGAATGAGACTACAAAAAAAACAATGTAATGCATTTTTATGCTGTGCACACAAACCATCCAGATGTTCCTAGAGATGCAATGGTTACTTACATATCTCTAATAAGGTCTAGAAACATAGCGGCCATGGCCCATATGGTTGTTTCCCCACCACCACCATTATAGACAGAGGGTCAAATTATATGTTAAATATACTGGCCAGAATCTTATTGATAGTTCTAAGAGAATAGACTCACTGAACTGGTGAGATTTACATAAGTGCCAAGTTACTATTCAGTGGCCAGAATCCTATGGGTTAGTTATACCAGCACAAGTGCAAAAGGTGCAAACGTAAGCATTGAATTGCTATTAGTTAACAAAAAATGTTTAATTAAAGAAAAACAATAAGTACAATACTAACATAAAATGTGTATACATATATGCAGTAATACAAAAACTTCCCCCCTGTGCCATCATCACCCTTGGGACCAGATAAGAAAATATTTCCTCTTGATCTTGTCTTTCCTCTATAATCTCCTCAAATTTAGACAGTTCTTAAATTTCTCCTACTTTTCTGGTCCACTCTCTTGTCCAGCTTTCCATTTGGAGTATATTTATCCAAGATATTTATCCAAGATATTTATCTTCCTCTCCCAAAATTTCCTTTGTAGTATTTTTATCTTTCTTTTTTTTTATCCAAGCCCTTATTGTATTTAACCCTTTCTCTACTAATACTTCTTTAAGTTTAGTTTTTAGGATTTGGGGTAAGTTCCGAGCCTCCACTACTTGTTGTAATGGTGAGATAAGAGGACTAAATATATGTCTATATTCTTTCCAGCATTCTAACATGTTCTTCAAAAAGGATTAGTATTCTCTTTATTTCTTCTGCTATTTTTTCTTTAAGGAGGATATTCTCCAGTCTATTAAAATGTTATAACATTTCCAGTTCCCTCCAAATTAAGTTTCTGTTATATACAATAATATCTGGAATATGTCTAAGCTGTTTTGCAGTGTAATATGTTTTAACATTTGGTAATCTAAGCCCTCCTTCTTTTTGTGGAATATACCATAGTTTCTTTTTAATTCTTATTCTTTTATTTCCATTACAAAAACTATTTATCAAGTTCTATCAGTCTTGATAATAGAAGATATATTTCAGATATATTTCTCCAAATTTTATTGGAAACATCAAAAATATAAAATTAAGTTTAGAGATGATCTTCATTTTAGTTAATGCTATTCTTCCAAACCATGTTAATTTTACTTTTTTTGTATTGATTATCTGTTCATTAGTTTCTTTCTTCAATTTATCCATATTTACTTTAATAATTTCTTGTGTATTCCGTGTGATATAAATACCTAAGTATTTAATTATACTTTCAATTCTTTTCTTAAATTCTTTTTTCATTTCTTTCTCTTCTACTTCTGAATGGTTTAATAAAATACATTTCGATTTCAACTAGTTTACTTTCAAACCCATTATTTCTTCAAAATGATTCAAATGTGTTCTAATAATCTGCAATGTTTCTTTTGGGTTTTTAATTATTAATAGTGTGTCATCCGCAAAAAGATTTATTTTATCCTCCTCTCTAGCATATACACCTTTAATTAAACTATCATTTGTGGTAACATGTGCCACCACTTCTATTATCAATATAAATAAAGTTGGAGATAAGGGGACCCTTGTTTCATTCCTCAGCCTAAGCATATTGATTCTGTTATGCCATCATTTATTATTATTTTTGCAGAGTTCTGTGAATATAATTGATGGATTATTTGTCTAAATTGGGTACCGATTCCTATCTATTTAAGCAATATTTTTAATGCATCCCATTCAACCAAATCAAAAGCTTTGAAAATATCTAGGGATATTACACCTGCCTTACATTTTGATTCTTTGGCTAAATACATCAAGTTAAACCCCTTCCTCGTTGTATCTTACATCTGTCTACCTTGTATAAAACCATTTTGATCTTTCTCAATATATTTCCCTATAAACTGAAGACCTTCAAGAAATTATGAATCGTTTTAGGAAGCCCTGCCAGGATTTGGACTAACAAGCAGCCTGAAGAAAACACAAGTCATGGCCCAGGGCTTGGACTCACTTCCTTCTATTACCATCTCTACATAAGAATTGGAGGTTGTTCATTACTTTGTGTACTTTGGATCAACAATCTCTGACACTCTGTCTCTAGATGTCATGCTGGATTAATGCATTGGCCAACCAGCTACCATTTTATCTACACTCACAAAGAGAGTATGGCTTAACAAGAAGCTGACAGCATATACCGAGATCCAGGTCTGTAGAGCCTGTGTCCTGAGTACACTCATGTACTGCAGTGAGTCCTGGATCCTTTGTGCACGGCAGGAGAGGAAGGTGAACACATTCCATATGTGTTGTCTTTGGGGCATTTTTGACAGTACCTGGCAGGACAAAGTTCCAAACAGTGTAGTCCTAGAACAAGCTGGAATTTTTAGCATGTATACATTACTGAAACAGTGACGTCTACATTGGCTTGGGCATGTCATGAGAATGGCTGACTGTCGGACTCCAAAATATCTCCTGTATGGAAAATTAGTGTAGGGAAAGTGCCCCAGAGGGAGCCCACAGCTGTGATACAAGGATATCTGGAAGCGGGATCTGAAGGCCTTAGGAATGGACCTCAGCAGATGGGAAACCTTGACATCTGAGCGTTCAGCCTGGAGGCAGGCGGCACAGCATGGCCTCTCCCATTTTAAAGAGACCCTTGTTCAGCAGGCCGAGGCAAAATTGCAGTCTCAAATCCAGCAAAATCAGGGAGCTGGACAGGGGACAGATTGTATTTCTCTTCAGTGTGGAAGGGATTGTCACTCTCGAATTGGCCTTCTGAGCCACACTAGATGCTGTTCCTCTATTCAGAGCACGTTGCCATAATCTCTTGAGACTGAAGGATGCCTACAGTTTATGCCATTACATGTATACTAGCATAAATAACTGATAGAATTCTGGCCAATGGGTTTACTCAAATTGGAAATACCATTAGGATTCTAACTAATGTGTTATAATTTGTAAAACTTTGGCAGTTGATTTTGTTTAAAAGGAGGTTAACTTTTTCTCCTCCTGCCTTCACTTACTGTTTTCCTTACATTCAGCTGTGTGTTTGTATCAGTGAATATGCAATCTTGCATGGAGAAAATAGGCCTGTAGAGGTGGAGAGGAATTGCAGTGGAAAAAGAAGACAGGCAGGAAAAGCATCACACATTCCTCCCACTACACTTTCCCTTTCTAAAGCACTTCTCTCTTCAAGCTGTTGAGATTGTGCGCCACATCACAAAGTGATCAAAGTAGTAACAGCCAACACAACCAGCATGTATTAAATTAACAAGCAAGGTGGTAGATATTTTTCTGCTTCATTCTTCATCTGGGGCAATGGTGTATTCGGCAACATAGTAGAACACTTCAAAGTTGTCAAAAATGTTCTGCACAGATAGGTTTCTGTGATGCATGATATTTTTCATGCAATAACCAGTCAGTGGAGCTGCATAGAGCTTTTTGCTTCACAATAAAGAAGAAATGCCCCTCATACTGGAACACCAGGCATTGGATGAGGCTCAGAGGGAGACACTTTTTCTCTATGGACGGAAGGACATTATCTTTTCCCTTTTCCCCTGTTAGCAAGGGTCATTCTGTGTCTCAGAGAACAGCAACTTGGTGACCACAACAATTGGGGTTCACAACTCTCCTACACCTCTCCCAACATTTGCAATTTGGTTACCAGACCAACCAGATCTGATTTCACAATCCAGTGGCCAGATGAGAGAGCCACACCTTCATTTACTATATCTTATATAATTGAAGTATTGGTCCCTGGGGCCATACCTCCTTCGGTACTGTATTAGATGCTGCTTGTAATCCCTCCACACTTGCCTCATATAGCTGTAGAAGAAAGGAATCTGAACTCTTTACCACAGAAAAAGGTGTTCTTCCATAGTCTTGCAGTATTCCCATTGTACAGGAGTTTCTCACTTCATTACAAATTCTTGTATTTTTCATTTATTAAGGTTTCTTTGGCAGCTACTTCAGCATACCATTCCACATTTGCTATTTGTTGAGTCTTTTGTTAAGAAATAACTTAAGAGCCTCCTGAATTTAATTCCACCTATTTGTTCTCCAGCTCCCTCCTTGTCTCTTTCCCTCATGATTTCTTAGTTCATGAACCCAGCTCAAGTTCAAAGAGGATCAGAACTATGTACCTTTCAGCTGGACCCTCATTTACTCTCTTTTTGTTCAGATAAGATGGTTCTAAATCCAAGCATAGACTTTTTATTTTAAGTTTCCTTGATTAATCTAAATTTGGTTCTGCTGGTCTTCTTTCTGAACCTCAGTTCCCCTTTGGAAAGAGTACTACATACTTTGGAGGTCAGTAGAATCCTCTGCATGACTCTTTGTATGTTCCAAGATTCTTTGTATGATTGCAAGAAGGGACAGCTACCCTGTTTCCCTGAAAATAAGACCTAAGCTGAAAATAAGCCCTAGTATGATTTTTCAGGATACTCGTAATATAAACCCTACCCCCCAAAATAAGCCCCAGTTAAGTGAATCCCTGCCCTCCACCATTGTGCAGCAAACAGAAGAAGATGACATGACTGTATTTGAATAAATGTAGATTGTTGTACATGCAAAAAATAAAACATCCCCTGAAAATAAGCCCTAATGTGTTTTGGGGGCAAAAATGTTTTATTTTCAGAGAAACACGGTAGTATCTTCTCAAAGGTTTGCCCACAGGATCATGAACTGTATTGCACTGGCTTATCAAATGGCCGGTAGCTTTTCCCAGCTGGAGTGAAAGACCACCCTACCAAATCTATTTCCTCATCTGCCACTGCCCTAAGAGCTGTCTCCTTTCCACACATTTGTATCATTGCCACATGGTCCCAGCTGTCAATATTCATACATCAACACCATCTAGATGTCTGGGCAGAAGCAGAGGCTTTGTTTGGATGAGAAGTTCTCTTTCTTTTTCCTGCAGTGATACCCTTGACTCCAGTAACAAATCTTACCAGCCTCCTATTTATGTGATGCACAGAGACCTCAAAGAAAGATGATGGGTTGCAGTTCTCACTGTCCTTCTTCATGTGGTCATCTGGGTACTCACACAAACTGCCTTCTCCCCTCTTGAGTTTCTCTTGAATAGTCTTAAGACTGCCTTTGTATTTTCTCCAGTATTTTGGGAAACATTTTTGTAACTTTTTGTAACATTTGCTTTTTGTCCTCCCTTCCCCGCCTTTAATAAAATGCAAACACTCCTTCAAGCAACTGTCTGGATTTTTGGCTCAGTGGGTCTGTGGTACTAGAACCATATCTTGCCTTGATCAGCCACTGGGTATTTTGGTGTTTGTGTGGGTGTGGTGGCAGCTACCTTTCAAGGCTGGTACATGTTCCAAGTACCAAGCCTTGTGGATTTGTTTTGAACTCCCTGGAAGTACTGCCAAATCTAAGTAAAACACTATGCTTGGGAGAGATATGGTCACAGACAATTTTCATATCATTCACCACATCTGACTCCTCCCTGGGCTCACCTACCCCAGGATAGGCAAGGGGATAGTGTGGCAGAGTGGCTGGGAGGGGGGCTGACCAATGAACCATCATGCCTGCCCTTCTTTTTTAAGATTCAAGTGTTTCTATTTCAGCAATACATGCAACTATATCATATGTAGAAGGACACATGTATTCTTGTGTGATTTTCACCCCTGATGAAGTAGAAGGGTTAACAAATTCCATTTCTTTTTCCTGTGATAATGGTAAACTTTGAAGCGCAGGTATTAGCTATGATAATCCCAACAACTGCAGCCACATAGAAAAGTTAACAGTAGGAAATGTTCATTACTCCATATCAACAAACAAATTCTACTGATTGTCATTTTCTCTGGGCATACATTTTCTGTAAAACCACTGATTCTTAATTACCTATTTGATACCATGCTCTCCCAAAACATTCTGCATTGCAAGAAGGATAGCTAAGAGCAATAAATTGATTTTGGTGGGCTAGACCGCAGAAGCCTGTGCTGCAGGGTCAGAAGACCAGCAGTCGTAAGATCACATCCACACGAAGGAGTGAGCTCCCGTCGCTTGTCCCAGCTCCCGCCAACCTAGCGGTTCGAAAGCATACAAATGCAAGTAGATCAATAGGGACCACCTCGGTGGGAAGGTAACAGCATTCTGTGTCTAAGTCGCAGCAGCCATGTGACCACGGAAGATTGTCTTCAGACAAAACGCCGGCTCTATGGCTTGGAAATGGGGATGAGCACCACCACCCCTAGAGTCGAACACGACTGGACAAAAATTGTCAAGGGGAACCTTTACTTTTACCTTTACCCATTTTCTTCCCACCCTCTCTGACGATCCCAGCTAAGCCTAGAGGAAGTGGGAAGCCTGGGGATATGGGATAACTGATGGTGTTGTGAGCAGGGGTGTGTCATCATTCCAGCACTTGATCCCAAGAGCCTTGGCTCAACTGCGCCAGCAAGAGTGGTCAGCTGTGTGGGGAAATGTCATGCATAAAGGAAACCAAGGAATCTCTCCTTCTCATCAAGAAATGAAGAGCACTTTCACTGGAAAATACTTAATTGCTGTTTCTCGTTCTGTCGTGACTTTCCTACTTTGAGTGTTTACAGAAAGCAGAGTAATTTCCATGCTTTCTGTCTTGCTCTCACAGGTCTTCATGAATTCAATCAAGTAAAACTGCTTCAGCTTAGTAAAATCAGTGGCTTGAACCTATAAAATCTAGCAGCAGCCAGGTGCTATGTCTTGTTCTTCCAGTCAGCATGGAATTGCATTAAAAATAACAAAAGGCTTGAAGGGTATCATTTCTTTAGCTAGCTGTCATGTATTCTAGCTACAGGTAATGCATCTTCACAGTGCTCCTCTTGGCTTTTGACAGGTGGTATTCTACCTGGAAGATACAATTATGTGCACATTTTTAAACCTGGAATCCCTGCTCGCTTGGATGTACAAGAAACACAACCTAATTATGTAAGTGTTAAAAACTTATGTATGACAGAAAGCTGTACTTTCTGATTTTATGTTAGAGTTGGAGGTACTACAATTTTCTGTTGGGCAGTAAACATATACGTACATAATTAATTTATTATGGTCAGGTGACAAGCTCATAAAACATATTATGTGGCTAAAATATACAAAATGCAGTTTAAAAATGTACAATCAGTTCATAAAACATATTATGTGGTTAAAATATACAAAATGCAATTTAAAAAGTGTACAGACAGTTCATAAAACATATTATATGGTTAAAATATACAAGATGTAAGTTAAAAAGTGTGCAACAAATAATTGTGTACAGGTTGTAAAATATGGGGAGAATCAAATGCAGCATTTTTAAAGTTATCCTTTGAGCCATTGGATCATCCAGGGCAGTGGTGGTGAACCTTTTTGGGCTCACGTGCCCAAACTGGAAAAAAGAAGCAGGCCAGTGTGCCGCGGTGGCGGAACCGGAAGTGGTGTCGGAAGGGGGAATCCTGGGCACGAAGGTGCCTAGAGACCCCACTCCAGATCCGCTGCCAGCACCAGCCGCTCTGGATTCTGACCCGCCGCTTGTCCGGGCACAAGCATGGGTTGCCCCCCCCCCCCCCCACAGCCACCTGCTCACATTTGGCTGCGGAGGTAGGGGGGAGTAGTGATCTGGTGACTTGTGACTCGCATGCCGGCAGAAAGAGTGCCGTGTGCCAGCTGTGACACGCATGCCATAGGTTCACCATCACTGGTCTAGGGCAAACTGGTTTGGACAGAGTCATTGAGTTATAGGGAGTCCTTCCTACGTATTTGTAAAGATCAGTAAATATTTCCTCCCTTTGTATACATATATAGAGAGCAAACATCACATCGATTAGGCAGATGAGATAACATATCACCTACATTTGCAGTGTAGCCCTAACTTGGGTATATAAACATTGTTTCTAACTTTTGAATATCAGATCAAAATGTTCAGGTTGCCTCATTTTTTCTAAAAAGGTTTTGCAAAACTAACACCTGTAATAAAAGGCGGTAATGCAACAGGCACTGGGTTTTTGTTTGTTTGTTTGTTGTTTTTGGTGGTATACTGCAAGTTACTAAGGAAGAAGTGGTAATTGTACTCAAGGCCCTCTATTTCCCTGTTTTTATGTCCTCCTGAGTGAATGCACAGACACTCAACATTTTATTAGAACTTGTCTTGCATTTAATAACAAGACCTCTACATTTTAGTCTTTGTGTGTAACGGATGCATGAATTGCTTCCTAGATGTCCATCAGTGTTGGTACAAAACATCTTAGTACTACCTAATTTTTCTGTTGATATGTTATCTCACTTTGTTTTCCTGTCGGCTGTTACGATAGTTGTTTTAATTTGTTATAGGGGATGGCAATTACAACAGGAGATGCAGTAAAAGGGAATTACTTCAGAATACATGTCAACCAGTACAGTATGGTAGAAACCATTACCTGCTTTTCAAAAGAGCCAGTTCCTGCCTCCAATTACATCTGTTTATTTGGACAGCATGAGCGTCTTCTTAACAATCTTTGTTCTCGCTGGAGGGAGGGACTGATCACGAATCTCTATAGGTACGGTGAGTTATGTTTTCTATATGAAATTTTCTAATATGATTTTATTGGGGCAGTCTTCTTTTTAGGTTTTCACAATTTGCTGCTAAAAATACATCAGAGTATCAGTGAGTTAGTGGGTCTTAACAGGACAATTTTAGCTTCTAATGAACAGCAATCTACTTCAGATGCAGCTAAATGAATTGGTATGAAATGGAGAATAGTCTCTTTTGAATGATTAATTTAACCAGACACGGGTCACAATGAAACTTTAAAGAATGGTTGATCTGAAGAAATCTGATTCCCATATTCATCCTATATATGTAAAACCTATCCAGTTCCCAGACCTCTGTGGGTTCAGCTCTCACTTTGGAAACATGAAATTAAAGTTAAAAGTGAAGAGACAGAAGATGGGTGCAAAATATCATGAGACAGCAGTATTGCATGTAATTCTATTCTGGAAACTCAGAACTCCTTGACCAGTGTCCTCTTGCATAGTTTCACAGGCAGTGGCATCACCAAAAGTAGCAGGCTGCCAGTAATTAAAGAGTTCCTCCTTGAATCTTTGATCATGTGCAACCTGAGTGCAATCAGAGTCATGTGCAGCCTGAAATCTGAGACATCCTTCACCATGTTAAGATGTGCATCCAAGAATGTCAAATAGTATCCCATTATTTATAATTTGTATTCTGTTCTTTGTTTTGTATTCTGTTGTGTATGGTTGGAAAGAAAACTTCTCTTATATACTTGAAGACAACATAAGTACTGTATTGAGTGTTCCCTTTAAATGATTTTTGTTATTTTCAAAAATAATGCCTAGACTTTTTAGGTAGAGGGTGTGCCAATAATTTCCTATTCAACATGTAACTGTATTTTGGGGAAAAAACAATCATAGTTAACTAAATCATGTCATCAGAGGCTCACTTTACATTCAGCCAAGTAACATGACTTGCTTGTGGTAGCACTTGAAGAGATGAAACAGAAGGAACCAGGAACTAGTGTTTGAACATTGCCGCAAGTTTTAGTTTGTGTTGAGCCTAGCAGGAAACAGGCACCATCACACAGACATGCAAAATGTTTTGGGTTACCACTAGGTATAACCTGAGAATAATGTTGCTCTATAGTGGAATCTGAATATGCCACCATTTAGGGTAGACAGAGTCAAACCTTGGATTTACATAGTACAGATGCCTTACAAAATACAAGAGCTCAAGATACAATGAAACCATGCAGTTAATCTGTTCTAATTTTAACTGTTTGCTCATCAATATACTGTAGTATCTTCACATTGATTGCATTCTATATGCTTACCATTCATGAGAGGTATGGAACTGTAAGTGTAGAAGTAACATCTCCACTAGCAACTACTCATATTTACATAAAACACTATCAACACTATGTTACATGATGCCAAAGTCCTATTTATCCAATGGTGGTAGTTGATACATTAATGATCTATTGTGCTTGATAGATTTTATAGACAGGCAACATAAATTGATGATAGGACCTTTGGGGGGTTATTAATTCATAGGATGGCCATGAGTATGAATCCATTTGGTGACACGTAATATTTGATATAGTTTCCTCTATATTTCTTAATTTAGAAAGCTATACATAAGCCTTCAGAAATGCTTATATATGCCTAGTACTGCTGTTAGTGTCAGTAATGCAAATAAACTTTTCAAAATAACCAGTTTCCTTTGCTGTCTATTTTACAGGGAAATCACATTATTTTGCTCTTCTCTTACAAATAGAATTTTGGTTTATCTCACTATATAGCTTTTTAAATTAAGAAATATGGAGGAAACTATATTGATTTCTTTCCTGTCCAATTCTAAATACATATACTCTGAAATAAGTCTCAGATTTCAGTAGGGCTTATTCTTGGATAAGTTGTTATATTTCGCCAATTAGGTTAATTTTTATTGTATGCATTTCCACAGGCTTGAGGTAGAATAGGTAATGTAATACATAGATGCAATAACTTTATTGTGTATGAATCAAAGGATCTATGTAACTCAAATAAACAAAGTGAATTTGCCTGTAGTACAGTTACATTTGCAGTGCACACTTCTTGTGATTTACTAGTTTTTTTTGTAAGTTCTTCACTCTAAAGCAAAAGCATGCTATTTTAATCATTTTGTAACTGGATTAGTTTTTCCTCAGCACGATATTCATTGCCAGGAATGAACTCAGTCAAACAGCTGTCACCTGAGAGTTAATTTGCCTCTTTGTGACATGCAAATTATCTTTTAAATTAGAGGCCACATCTAGCCATAAATTTTCTCGTGGTTTGGCAATCATCAGGTTGAAGACTTTAACACTGTAGTGCCATATGTGTCAACTGGACCACAAATATACTTTTGCCTAGTTCTTAAAATGTGACCAGTCTTGTGCTTCTTACATAGGCTAGCCTGTTATAACCCTGTTTAATTAACCTATATTAGCTACAGCAGAGACTTGAATCATTGCAGTTATTTCAGTATCCCTTAAGTAGCCTTTGTTTGGCAATCCTGATAGTCCATTCTGAAACATTCTAATTTCATTTCTTTACTGTACTCCAAAAGTTAGAATGCAAAGATGGACCTTACTCAACATTTTTTTTACTTTGATGGTATAAGGGAGACCTCATTACTTACATGTCTTTTGTATGGCAGATCATTGGCTTGTAGCATTCTGATGGAGCTTTTTTAAGTAACAGTAGTTTCTCTTTTGAGATCTCTTGCAGCTGGCACTGTCAACAGTGCACCTCACCACTCAAGAGAATGCAAACATGTATTTGTGAATCCAGGATCGAGTTTTTTTATTCTTTCAGACTGAAAATCCTGCAAGCTCTTTTCGTTTTTCATTGTCAGTAAAAATATAATAAATCAATAAGTAACCATTTGTTGGCCTCTATTGTATGAGAAAGCCACTGACTACTGGCAGACATCATAGGTATCTAGTGAGCATGAGAAGATGCTATCCCCTGCCCTAGAATCCTAATTTATTCATTATCTTAATGTATACAGATAGATGCACTCTGTTGTAGTGGCACATGTTACAGGCACGAATTATGCTAACATAACTTTATGCAGCCTTGTCTTCCATGCAGAAAAAAGCTATGTTGGACACCCTTGGTAGACAGAATACACTGTTTGATATTTACAGGTGCATTCCAACAGTGTATAATTATTGCACTGAACTGTGAAAAACATGTAATTGGAAATGCCCAGAAAGCTTGTTAAAGGATTTTCTTAACTCCCCCCCAACCACTTTCTTTAAAAATTAAATGTTATTAAATTAAAAGGGAAGCAGAGGGGAGAGGGAACAGAAAGACTGAATTACCAGCCGGTCCTAAGTGGAAGAGGTAATGTGGTGAGATAGCTTATCAACCAGTTCCAAAGCCCTGCTGCTAGACAGTAAGTGGGTGCATACAGAATGGGGGAATCTTTGAGTCCTCTGACTTTTAAAAATCCTCTCCTATTGATTTCAAGGGGGAGGAGGGAAAGTTCAGTGTGTCAGCACCAGACTGGTATATTTGATAGACCTGACTGGAGCAAGCAGATTCAGGCCACTCCCAAAACATCTCACTCAAGGGTTGACACCGCTCTGCTTGCAAAGCTTTCTGGGAGCCTCATGGATGCTTATGTTGTCCTGCCAGCAGATGTCTCCTGACAGAGAATCACTTCTGTCCCATTCTATCCCAAGTGAGATGGCCATCTAAAAGGACTAAGATTGCTTTGCCTATCTAGTACATTTTAATACAAATATTAAGAGTGTAGTTAATCCACCAATCCCACAATATACAATATTTCCAATGAAAATACATTCAAGGTGTTAGAAAATCATAACAAACACTTCTTGTCCTATATACTTATATATTCAAATGAAAGGAACCTATGTCAGACAAAAAGAATCAGTAGAACATATAGATCCATTTGACAGATGTATAAAACATATTCATTTATTCATTAACCATTCTGTCATAATTTTCTTCACACTTGTCCAGGCTTAAAAGTTATTCTTCAGATATTGTGCCAGTAATACCCCAACCATGGACAGCTCATGCCTGGGGTATCTCAGCTCTAACTATGAAGAACAGATGATCATCAAAAACATGATGCTTCCCTTTTACACTACTTTTTAGATAGTCCAGTGTAACTGATAGCCATTGAATTGTCAAAGATATAATTGTAATGTTACAGAACATTACAATTACTAGTTACAATTACTACATTGGGTAGTTACTACAGAACTACCCAGTGCTAGGGAGCGGGTGGACAGAGTAGCTGTCATTTTATTTTCTAAGTACAGATCAAATATATGCATTAAAAGGGCCTGCAGACAGGGTCCTTATTGTAATTCAGGGATTATATTAAACCCTGGATGGATGCTGAATATGATGATTAGATGTAAAGCAGATGTTCAAAACGTCAAGGTCATTGTTTACTCAAAATCAGAACACAGTGTGTAGCTGTGTGGAAATTTACAGGGGATTATAGAGGCATATTTGTATTGAAACAGGTTCCACCTTAAAACTCCAGCTCACCCTCAGGATTCCTGAAGGTTGCCATCAATTTTCCTTACTGACAAAAAAAAGAGCTGAATGTGCCTAAAGCTACTCAGTAGTTTTTGCATTCTAATTAGAGGCAAATAAGTGCGCATTTTTGAAGAAGAGAACCAGAATAAAGGAGAAGGAATAAATGAAAGCCCTAACAGCCTCCCTTTTCTGCTATAATTAAATGTTAACCTTGAATCATATTTTTAAAACCATGCTTAGATCTATATAAATACCTAAGTAGTACTGAGCAGTATTAGATATTTATTTTATATATCACATTATAAGGTTTTTAATGAATAACTGTACTTCTAATGAGCACTAGGCAACTAAGAAATTTGGGGATTAGAATTTGAAGTGAAAAGCAGGTCTGTGCCTTCCTTGGGCTAAAAATAGATTAATAGATTAATATATTATTTTAAATTATTAAGATTTGAACATCTGTCATGATCAATGAGTATGAAAAAAATTAGAATGGATC